TGATTTTAAGTCTTGTCATGCAAACCCTAATTACTAACAATAATAAGGAAAGCGATAAATTGCGAAATTTAAATATCTTACGCTATTACAACATTTTAGGAATGGGGGTACAAGTTTGTGAATAGGGGGAAGAAATCAATAAAGCCCTAATTATCTATTACATTGAGTATGAATAATAACAAAATGCACAAAATGTAAAGATGAAGAAGGAGGAAAAGAAATTGTTTTTGTGGTTTTTGATGGAGAAAAAGGTTTAATGTAAACCTAATTAAATTAGTTAATTTTAATTTATAAGAGAAGTTAATTAATTATTTTAACAAAACCTAAAGTCTAAGTCAATTAAAAATAAAATCTAAGTCTAATTTAATTATCTAAAATATAATTTTTGAGGTTTTATTTGTTTGAAAAAATGAAGTAAATAAAATAAAATAAAAATAATTGAACTAAAATATTTTAAATCTAATTATTCAAGAAAAATATATTTTTTTTGTATTTTTGGTTTAAATAAAATAAATAGATAAATAAAAATAATAAAAAGAAATAAAATAAATGGGATGGGTGTTAAAAAGTAAAAGAGGTGTGAAAAAGCAATTTTTTGGCAGACCCAACATATGCCCTTTTTGAAATCAGAAAAAAATATATATTTGTAATTAAAAAATATTGGGTATGCGCTATTAGTAAGTAAAGGGGGGGTATAAGAAAGCAAAAACAAAAAAAGAATGAGGCTCAAGTTCTGGGAAGCTCAGCGCCTGTATGGATCATGTGCGGATGGCCTTCTGAGGTGCATCATGGTCATGCGTCTTGGTGCATTGGATCCTCTTTGAATTAGATTTAATGGTGATGAGATGAGGGTACATGATGGACTCAAGGAAACCAGGCGCGCTGAATCTGCAAAAAATATGTGAAAAAAATACAAAAGGGTACCACTGGAGCTCGAATCCAGGTTCCTATAGATCAATGCCTTAGCGCACGCTTCTCTGCCACTGGGGTGGCTATTTCATCTGGTGGTAAAATAACTTACAATAAACTTAAAATAAACTCAATTCTGATATTTGAAAATGACTTCATCTTCAACCTTGCGCGCAGAGATGAACATCACCATGGCCAAAACTGTAACTTCTTCATTTCTCAACTATTTTTAAAATTGTAAACATGAAAGTTGTTCCATTTTCACCATGAATTCAACATATAAATAATTAAAGCTATAAATCAAAGATGAACATGAATTTTGTTTGGTACCAAATAAAATCTAATTTTTTTAGAAAGTTCAACTTCAAAATTCGCATCACTCAGACAACATAAATGAAAACTAAAGGCATGGTTAGCTTCAGGGCACTGATGTCTACATTTTTCATTCATAAAGTAACCATTAATGATGCTTGTATAGAGAGTTCAAAATTGAGAAAACTTACCTCAAAACTGGAAATTCTGTTTGGAGTTTGAGCACTCCTGGAAGTGTTGTGATGATCTGGATAGCTTCACTAAACTCCTAGGAAGCTAATGCAATGCTTACTTTATGCTGAAAGTTCCTAAATCTTCCTGGAGAAGTCAAGTTGCAGGTTTGAATTTTTGAGTTTCGAGGAGATGAAAATGAAGTTACACTTATGAAACAGGGGTGGCGATGAGTTGTATATGATGTGTGGAATCTTTGTGACAGATTTAGAGAGGAAACATACGAGTGGATTGTGAGTTTGAAGTTTAAGGTTAGAAATGACAAGCAATGGAGGTTTTGATGCAATTTCTGGTTTTAGGGAGTTTTAGGGTGTTTCAAGGCTTGTGAATTCGTGTCTTAGCTTGCCAAATAGTGTCTCTATTTATAGGGAAAAGTTGGAGGGAAGGAGAACATCAGGTTTGTAAGTTACAAAGTTATGGCTAGGTGACTTAATTTTGAAGCAACATTGAGATAACCTTGTTCCAATGCATAGTACAAGCATGATCTGAAATGGATAGAGGCTCTAGACAAGTTGCTTATGGCCTTGAGATTATGTGTGTTCATAAGGAATAAGTGTAAAGCTCAAGGAGAGTGGACTTTGTGATTAAAGCCACTTTTCCAAAATGACAATGTTACCTTTGTGCCAAAAATGGATTAATCACTTGGACAATGGCTCAAGCACTTGGATCATAGCTCAATCAGTTGTGTAAATATTTAACTTTTGAGTGATTTGCAAGTTTGAAGGTCTGCAAAGCAAGATTATGCATCATGCTTGAAGATTGGATCATAAGGTTCATCACAAAATGACCTAAAATTCAAGAATGGATGCTCAACTTCTTCTCTTCGATTCTCCTAGCTCGAGCATGATCCCTTCAAGTTCTTGGATATTTTGGAAAGCTTGAAATATTGTCTATAACCTTCATGTTCACCACTTTGACTAAATCAACTTGGAACTTGGTGAAAAATTGCCAAGAAGTTGGGACAAAAAATCTGCCTAACTTGATGAAAATTTCACTAAGTGTTTTTGATAAAAAGTCATGACTTCATGGGCCTATATCTCATAATCTAAGCATTTTTTAGACTCAACCCTAAGGGACAAAGTTATAGAATTCATCAAGATCTATAACTTTCATGTTGAAAGTTTTCCTTAAATCATCTTGCATCTTGGTGAAAAAATGTCATGAAATAATGAAATTATCAAGGGTAAAAACACTTAAAAATTTTCTAAGTATTGAAAATTTTGACTTTTTGTGGACTTTTCTTGATTTTCTTGATTCTTGATGATCAAGTTTGATATTTTGGAAGGTCTTGATGAATCTTGATCTTTGAAATTCAATGTTGACCAAAAAGTCAAACTTTGACTTTTTGTGTATCAGTTGATCAAATTTCAATTATCAATCCATTGATCTTAAGAAATCATTTGAGCCATGAAAGTCATTTGAGGTATTAGAAGTCTAATTTTCCTTGTGAAAATCAAAACCCTAATTTGTGGTCTCAGTGCTTAGGAGGTGAGCTTGTCTGATCAACTCTTTGAGAATCCTTGAGCATTTGAGATCTTTTGTGAGAAATGTCTTGAGAAAAGAGAGGGAAAATTTTGGGGTACAACACATTGTAAAAGAGAAGATCAAAGGATTTCAAAAGTTTCTTCATACTTTCTAAACACTTGAATTACTTAAGTTTGGATTGTTACATTGTGAAAGAGAAGATCAAAGGATTAAACTTAAAATCAAGTCAAGACCAAATATTTCTAAGTTATTTAAGTTGTATATTGTATCTTAATCACTCAGTTGGTGGTCCATACTTTCTTGGGTTGTAGAAGATTATAAGAAAGTCTTGTTGAAGACTTGTACAAAGATATAACCATAATGGAAAATCTTCTAAAAAGTGGAGGAAGTAGATGTACTCTTGATTGAAAAGGTGAATTAGTATAAATTCTTGTGTCTTTTACATTCTTACTCTTAATTCTATGTCCTTTACATTTAAGTTCAATTTAAACATTATCACGTGTTTCCGAAAAAATTAAAAGAGTAGAAAATTGAAGTAAAAACAAAAAAAAAATTCAATAAATCTGATTCACTCCCTCTTAAATTAACTTCTCATACTTACAAAACTCACTAACTTTAAAAAAAAAAATGCATATATAAAGAGAAAGAAAAGATAAATGATGATGGAAGATAGACCGGATAGAGTGAAATTTTTTGAAAATTTATGTGAAAATAAAAATTACAATTTCTTTGTATAATGGTCTATATTAAGAAGATCTCAAATCTCATATTAATTGAAAATAAAACCTTAAAAAAAATTATATATAATAACACCTTTCACCTTTCAAATTAGTTTTATAAAGATAAGTTGCATCAAATTTTAATAATTTAATGGTTGAAATTTTATTCTTTAAATCTACACTCTTTTATAGTCAAATGTCATGCACAATTAGTGACGGGAGTGCTTAACAAAATGAAAATTACACTTTTAACCTTAAAAAATCTATCAAGATCACAAGTCCTAATATTTATGGTGTTTGGGTAGTTACCCATTAATATCATATTTAATCAAATATATAGTATGAATGAAAAATCAATTACTCATCATTCATATTTGGTTCAATTATATTTTTAGTCTCTATTTTATCCGCTTGTGAAAACAGTCTCATTTTTTTAACGTCGAATTTATTTTATCTTTATAAATTGTTTTGGATTGAATTTTCATATTTTTTTCGATAAAACTCAAACCGGTCTAAATCAAAAAATAACGAATTAGTTTGAATTAAATTGATCGGATACATTAGAAACAAATATAAAAAATATTTTTAAAAAAATATAATTTACATTAACTAATTTTATATAATAATGTAAATTTTTAATTTTTTTCATATAAGTTAGTAATAGTCACAAATGATGTTTCATATTTTTTTTTTTTTGAAGTTAGAATATTTTATATTAATTTCTATAATAATAATGATATAAATTTCTGAACTAATATAGTTGGTTCAGATAGATGGACTCGCGGGTAGATTTTTTAAAATCCGATGCCTGAACCAATTAACATTGAATTTCATTAGTTTGATTCGATTTTTATCCGAACTAAAAAAATATCTGACTCAAATACTTTAATTTGATTTAGATTCCAATTTGATTCGGATTTGCTTCAAACAATAAATAGCCCTATTCATCATCAAAAGTAAGACAATAAATTACACTTTAGAGACAAAAGAAAAGGAGTTTAGAGCAAAGTTATGACAATTTAATAACTAAAAAAAATGATTTAAAATATATAAATTATTTTATGATAAAATAGGAAGACAGAGTGTAATTAAGACTGAGAATCATTAATTGAACTGCTATGAGCTTGACTTGAAATTTCTAAGAAGATACTTGATGTTGAAATTTCATGCTTCTTACTTTTCTTCCCTATGAAAGGATGGCACCAATTTCTCCCCCCAACGTACACAACACGCTTCTCATAATTTCTTTTTCCAACTTTGTATTTACATACTTTCCACCACCTAGAAAGTGATATACATTTATCTACATTTTCAACACAACTCACAAAACAACCTTCAAAAAACATGGCATCCTTCAAACAAGTTTCAATCCTTTTATTATCTCTTTTCCTCATTTCCCTATTCAAATACTCTCATGCTGCGGGAATTGCAGTCTATTGGGGCCAAGATGGAGGTGAAGGTTCCTTGGAAGATGCTTGCAACACAAACAACTATCAGTTTGTAAACATAGCTTTTCTATCCACTTTTGGCAATAGCCAAAACCCGCAACTAAATCTTGCTGGTCATTGTGAGCCAAGCATCAATGGCTGCACAAAGTTTAGTAGTGAAATTCAAACTTGTCAAGGCAAGGGAATCAAAGTGTTACTCTCTCTCGGAGGTGCCTCTGGTAGTTACTCTCTTAATTCGGCCGATGAAGCCACACAACTAGCAACATACCTATGGAACAATTTCCTTGGTGGAACATCAAGTTCAAGACCATTAGGTGACGCAGTTTTGGATGGAATAGATTTTGATATTGAAGCAGGCGATGGTCAACATTGGGATGAACTAGCAAAAGCACTTAATGGTTTTAGTGCACAAAAGAGAGTTTACTTGTCTGCAGCACCACAATGTCCTTTCCCTGATGCTCATTTAGATTCAGCTATTAATACTGGTTTATTTGACTATGTTTGGGTTCAGTTTTATAATAATGGCCAGTGTCAATACTCAAATGGAAATATTGACAATCTTGTTAAGGCTTGGAATCAATGGACTTCAAGTCAAGCTAAACAAGTGTTTTTAGGTGTTCCTGCTGATAATGCAGCTTCTGGTTTTGTTCCTTCTGATGTTTTGAACTCTCAAGTTCTTCCTGCTATTAAGAGTTCTCCTAATTATGCTGGAGTCATGATTTGGAATAGATTTTTTGATGGAAATAGTGGATACAGTGATGCTATTAAGGGCAGTGTTTAATTAACTAGTTAAATCTAGTCTTTATTATGTATTTGGAATAAGTAGCATGTTCAGTAGGTTTTGTTCCTACATATTAATAGGTGCTATTTGATAAGTGATCACTTTGTTTATGAAGTCTCACCTATCATTGGAAGTGTCTTTGCAAATTTTAAATGAGAATTTATATAATCTATACCTATATATTAAAAGAGATATAGAATCTGGTTAATTGGTCAAGGAAGTTTATCCAAAGTTTCAAAGCATTGTACAATAGTTAACATTCATCGGTATTTGGTAAACAATGCAGATTTCCACTTTCCAGTATGAAACTACTCATACCTCGTCTTACAAATTGTACATTTGAATTCTTTTGCATCATTTTCTTTTTCCTAGGACCCAGTGTTTGTCCAAATTTAATAATACATGTTACATCCTACTTCTATTTACCCCCCTTTTGGCTTTTCGCCAATCCTACAAAAACTAGAAACATTTTCAGCTTTAATGAGACTCTGCAGATTGAAAATGAGACCAGTATTCTTTGACAAGCTTCCCAAACAAAGATCCTTCTCTCTTCATCAAGTTCATTGGCTCATCATACTCTACTAAATTTCCTGAAAATTCAATTGCACGTTTTATTTTCTTAGAACAAAATAATGAAAGGATCAAATGCTTTCTCCACAACATGTGCTAAATGTTCAAATGTGCAAGCAACAAAAGTAACTAATATGCTACTTACCATCACTGATGGAAAGAACCTTTGTGCAATCCATCACGGTCGGTATCCTGTGAGCTACTGTGATTACCGTACAGTCTGCAAATTCGGTCCTAATAGTTTTCTGCAGAATCAAGTCTGTTGCATTATCAATTGATGCAGTTGCTTCATCGAGCACCAATACCCGACTTTTCCTCAGCAAAGCACGGCCCAAACAGAACAATTGTCGTTGTCCCATGCTCCAATTTGCCCCATCTTCAACAACTGTATAGCAATTTGTTACTAAACATTAGTATCTAAAACTACTGATTGGATTAACAGCTCAAAATTAAACATTAATGACATCAACGCTTATCGTAAAGTTTTTATGTATGAACTATTTCTACAACAAAAGATAAAATAAAGTCAAACTGTTTTCATATAAGCTATCAGTTGTTTCCGTAGACATTCCAATAAGCTATTTTCATGAGATCTTCCAGACATTATCACAAGTTCTTATGATAGTAGTTATGTTCAAATAAACCTATCCAACCAGAACACCAGACAGGAATCGATCACTGCAAAGTTGTGTTAGCAAATCATGAAAATGTACCTGATGAGTCTAAGCCACCTTCTTTCTCTTGGACAACCACTTGCAACTGACACTTGCCAAGAACCTTTGTAAACAAACCACAATTAGTCCACATTAATTATTGGAACTTGGACATAGAGATAATTAAATAAACAGAAGAAAAAAAAATCCTTGTTGTTATTAACTAAATGCTGAAAAGTTAGCAAGTAATAATACTACCTCCCATATCTCTTGATCAGAGTGTTGAAATAAGGGGTCCAAATTGTATCGGACTGTTCCATTAAAAAGAGTAGGATCCTGAGGTATAATACCAAAGCGCGACCTCAAATCATGAAGTCCAATAGAACAAATGTCAATGCCATCAACAATGATTTTTCCACCTGATGGCTCGACTAGACGAAATAAAGCACCAATAAGAGTGGTCTTGCCGCTTCCTGTTCGACCAACTATACCGATTTTGTGTCCTCCTTCAAATGTGCACGTGATTCCGCGGAGTACTAGTGGTGCATCAAGCCTGTACCGTATCTGTTCCGATATCATGAAACATATCGTGTGTTTCAGTTCAAGTTCACATTTCGAAGAGAACAATATGCAAATGGGTTTCAAAATAATAACAAATACCTTGAGTTCCTTTATTTCTACTCTACCAACAACTGGCCAATTCACCGGAGGGCGATTTCCTTCTATTACTTCAGGAGCCTCACTTGGTACATGCATATATTGATTTAGCCTCTCCACTGATATTATGTAATTTGCTATATTGCATTGATTTTGAATTGAAAATACTAAGGAAGCATTAAGGGAAAGGCCATAAGAGAGAGCCATGCCAATAAATCCTGAAATAACATCATATGTTGAAATCATACTACTTGGATAAGAACACAACTATGATTAAGAAAACAATAAAAGGGAAAGTCTAAAGGCACTTATAGAAGAAGTCTCACCAGAGGAAAATGTTCCGGGTGGAAGTACAACTATACACAGTGCGGCAGATGCAAGAACAACAGCACTGACTGTTTCTAACCGTTGAATCAACCACTCATTTGCAGCAAAACTATGAAAGAAAGGAGTAGCATTGATATCGATTAGATCAAGGTTCTTTACGAAAAAACGATATTCCTCTTCAAAAGCTCTTATTGTCACAGCTCCAGCAACTGATTCAGCAAGATGGTTAGCTACAAAGGATTTTGTTGTGCCATTCATCCGCATCAGTTCTTTTGCTGAAGCAAAGTAGTATCTCTGTATGGAGAAAAAAAACTTTTCAACGAGCCCATTTTAAATTTAGGAAAGATAATTATAATGATTTAATGTAAAAACACAACACCAAATCATCACTGCAATTGAATTCAAAGAATTTGTTCATTACCTGCAACCGCAGTGCAAAATAGAGCATCGGTATGGAGACAAACAAGACTTGCCAAGTAACTACTGCTAAAACAGTTAGACTAGCATAACAATTGCTAGTAGCTCCCACGGCGAAAAGAAGACCAAATGGAACATCGAGGTCAACAATGCTGAGATCAGAAGAGACCTAAACAAAGTAATAGTCAAAGCATAAGTATTTCCCATTCATTGCGTTAACTTAGATGGACAAATGGAAAGAGAAAGGACTGTTTAATATTCTTACCCTACTAAGTATCCGTCCCAAAGGTGTGGAATCATAAAACGTCAGAGGTGCACGAAAAAGGGAGTTTAGTAGCTGTAAAAATAAAGACTTTGAAGATTGAAGGCCCAAAGCAACTGTAAAAAGGCTTCTCATCAATAAGAACACTGTTGAAGTAATTCCAATTAACAAGTAAACTAGAATCAGTCTCAAAGTGCTGACTTTAGGATTGTCAACATTAGCAGCCATCCACGAATTTTGCAATATTTGACCGATCACAAATATAAGATGAGAAATAGAAGCCACGGAGAAGTATATGTATCCTTTGTTCTGATTTAGGTAAGTTAAGTAAGGCTTAAGCCCCTGGTCTCCAGTTTCTCTCTCTTCTTGCTTAATCAATTGATCTCCTTCTGGTGCTTCAAATTGTTTTTCCTTCTCCACATATGTTTTCCTTATCTCTTTGGCAGAATTTGAATTTCTTTCAGAAGAAGTAACATCCCCAAGCCGGTCAGAACCAGCAGTCTCTTTGTGAGCATTCACAAGGTCCTGAAAATCTTTGCTTGAGGTCAACAATTGGTGATACGAAGCAGCTTGTAAAATTTTGCCGTCTGACATCAACTGTACCGCAAAACCGTTGTGTCCATGCATAATTTTCAGTTAGCCAAAGATTATAAAATAATGTTCTAATTTTCAGTTAGAACAATGACATAAACATAATCATTGTTTAATTGATGTATAAAATTACCAAAACAAAATCAAATGCTGGAAGGAAGTCAACTTGATGGGTCACAAGCAAAACTGTCTTCCCAGCGAGTCCTTCCATAATGTATTCCTGTCCAGTTAATTGTATCATAAGCATAACCAACTACATGATTTAAAGTGTGTGCGCGCGCGCGCGTGCTACATTATGAACACAGTATGTAAAGAAGTGAATTTATCATTACATTAAACAAATTTGTGGCAGTTTGTGCATCAACAGCGCTGAATGGATCATCCAAAAGATATATATCAGCATTCTGATAAAGAGCACGAGCAAGTTGAATTCGTTGCTTCTGACCACCACTTAAGTTAACCCCTCTCTCTCCTATTTCAGTGAGATCACCATGGGGAAACAGCTCAAGATCTTTTACTAGTGAAGACCTATGAAGAGTTTCCTGATATTTTTGAACATCCATAGATGATCCAAACAATATATTATCCCTTACTGAACCTGTTTGTATCCATGCTGTTTGAGAAACATACGCAAACTTCCCATAAACATCAATCTGCATTCCAGAAAACATAATCAAATACCTTTTACTATTAGTACTCAAAGGACAAAAAGTTGAATTTACATGCCAAGTTATACAATAAAACTGCCTGCAGAAAATGGAAATGCCATCAAAGTTATAACTAATGAAAGTATGGCAAAGTTTATACAATTAAAAATTAAAAATAAAAAACAAAAAACAAAATCTTACTTTCCCTTGAGTGGTAGGAACTTCTCTGAGAATTGCTGCTAAGAGAGTTGATTTGCCTGAGCCAACCTCACCACAAATTGCGACCTTTTGTCCAGGTCTTACTTCCAGATTAACATTTCTCAATGTCGGATTTGACACATTATTATCCTCCCATGAAAATTCAGCAGACTTGATTGAAATTGAGCCCCTTATATTGTCTTCTGAACACCTCTTCCCAATATTTTCACTCTGCAGTTCGGGTGCCTCCAGGAATTTTAAAATCCGAGCGAAAGCAACTTTTGCCTGAATAACCACCCCAATAACATCAGGGATGGTTCTAATTGGATCTTGAACAAGGCGCAAAGTTGCCACGAAAGTGAAAACATTATTCGCATGCAATGGCACATTAAGAAAATAACACGCTCCGAACGTAGCAGCAGAGACCAAAACCGGTGACGACCAAAAGAGAAATGTGTTGTATGCCCTTCTCAATTGCACTGCAGACAACCATTTGAGTTCCTCATTCCTTAAGCCTTCTATAGAGTTTTTAAATCTGGTTTCCCATGCATACAATTTCAGTACCTTCATATTCACAAGAGCCTCGGAAGTAGCCTTCAATCTCTCATCTTGTGCAACCATTAGTTTGCTTTGAAACTTGTGTTGTAACTTTGCTAGTGGTGTATTGCAAAGTACAGT